ATAAATAAAATCTAAATTAAAAAAAAAAGAAAGCGTGAAAAGAATAGTTGCAATGAATGCCAGCAAAATGAGAAAACAGAACCAACACCATAAAGCATTAGAGGGTCACATGGATCTAACTTACGAATCTGTCTTTTAGTCCTGAATATTACTAGAAATAGCTATTTATCTAAAATGTTAATAGTAACTGCAAATACAGTAGTTGTTTGTGTTTCTTGCTTTGTCTTTAATTGAAAAAATTACAGGCTACTGAAGTCTGATGGAAACTTTTCAGTGGTTGATGAAATTTTAAACTTTAGGAACCCCCACCTTGGTTCTTGAGCCCAGGTTGCACAGAAACGCCCGTCTCTCCTCTCCAAAGCTAACACTTGTTGAACACAAATTTTCTGAGTTTTCCTGTGCTCCAGATATTGGGGCTTGGAGAGTTTAAGGTCTACACCAAAACCAACCAAGCAGACAGGGAGCACTCCAGCCAAATTGAATCCAAGTGCAGAACGCCATCAACGTATAACCCGGTGACTAATGCGGATAACGGATCTTTTATTTTCTGAAACCTTGAGTAAACACGCTACACGATGCAGCTTTCATTTTCCACTGATATCGCTTTTTCATATTCATGTTATTTGACCAGGTAATTGTGAATATCATGTATGAAAAATAAAACTGAAAATCTCAATCTAAGTACGTGGAGTGCTGGAGGCGGGTAGAGGAAGGCATGATGGAAAATGCAGAAACAGTCATGAAACATGTCAAGAAAATATTCCAAAGGAAGAAATTTAAGAGTTCCTTACCACAAGATTTTCTGTGCTACTGTTCCACATGCCACACACCTCAGTCTGTCTGTCTGCCTACCTATCTGTCTCTTTCCTCCCATTTTTTTTTTTTTGAAACAGGGTCTCCCTATAGTCTCAGCTGGCCTGGAACTCACTATGTAGATGAGGCTGGCCTCCAACTCACAGAGATCTGCCTTCCTCTGCCTCCCGATCTCCTCCCATTTTTAATTTTATTTATTTATTTATTATGTACTTATTTATTTTTATTTTATGTTTTTGAGTGTTATTCCTGCAAGTATCTAAATGCACCTGTGTTGTGCAGTGCCCTCAGAAGATAGAAAAGGACATTGGATTCCCTGGAACGGGAGTTACAAACAGTTGTTAGCTGCCATGTGGGTGCTGGGATTTGAACCTGAGTCTTCTGCAAGAATAGACAGTGCTCTTAATCACTGAGTCATCTCTCCAGCCCCTTGTCTGCCCTTTTTAAAAGTCAGATTGCCCTAAATTTTTGTTATGATGACATATTTGGGTGGCACTACCAATCCTGTAATTAACAACTCTGAGGCTTTAACAAACTGCTTTGAGGGCTTAAATTTACAAATCACTGGGAGCTAATAAATATTTAGTGAGGTATAGACATTATAAAATAAAACAGAAATTTATTTTTGTCAACTTGTATGAGCCTGGTCCAATTCTTGTTTCCCTGTAATACAGACAAACTTTAAATCTCACATATTCTCAAAGGAGTTTAGTTTTCTTACTCTCCATTACAAAACAAAACAAGCAGAAAAAAGAACGGCCTTTAGAATGTACACTACGATATTTCTGCCTCATCACCAGAACCCTGGTAATATTATGAAGGAAACTAAACACAAACTAATATCATTTCTTAGCTGCAGCAGAACAGATTTGAGATTAGAGTACTTTTCAGCTCCATATTATGGGATGCACTGCCTTTTGCAACTTAAAACATCCTTTAAAGTCTTTTGCCACGGTAACCGAAATTGCCTCCACACAATTTATTGAACGACATAACCACCAGAAGGAAGATTACACTGTAAGCCTCCATTTTCATAACTGCCGAGGAACATTCTGGAGAGCTACAGACGTAGGTCAGACTATTGGTTCCTTAAACTAAGTGGCTAGAGAGACCCATTCCTATTCAAACCTAAGACTGATTCACTGATGGCTACCTTTTTTATGTTTTCCAAACAAATCATCATTTTTATGTGCAGCCTTACCTAGTGCTCTAGGGAGATGGCAGTATTCTCTGTGTTTCTGTGAGTTTGGTTCATATCTCTACCCTAGCAATCATTCCATTGTGTTATCATTCTGTGTCTGGTTTATCTCACTAAGTGTAATGTCCTTCAGTTCATCCTTGCTAGGACATGTTGACATCATCCTTTTTATAGCTAAGTAGTATTCCACTGCATTGTAAAAATGGAATTATGATAAAAATCAATTCTGGAAGCAGCTTACAAAGCTGGGAGTGAGGAGGCCATTAGTAAACAGAGCTGATGAATGACCCCGTGCTGCCTGAGATGTCAACATCTGGTGATCTCCACCCTTTCACGAGAGACATCTGGGACACTCGAACTACAAGGAAATTCCTTTGTACTCTAAAGCTCAGGATGTACATCACTAGGTGACTGGACTCTTGCCTTCTGGGCATTTTTATCCATTTACACATTCTGGTCTTTACCAGGCCATGTAGCTCCTGTGCTTCCTCAACATTCAACAGCTCATCGAAGCTCACACCCTCCCTGCCTTCCTCAGAGAGCCAATGCTGTTATCTAAACCTGGGTCCCTGAGTTAGTCCCCAAACTCCAAAGAATGTCCTTCTCTCTCTGCGGTTTCTAAATTCAGTGACATTACATGTATGACAATTTTTTTATCCATTCATCCATCAAAGGCCTGGTGAGTTGCTTCGATATCTGGGCTATTATGAAACTTCCTGCAGTAACTGTGAAAATTCAGGTCTCTGATAATATTAACTTCATCACACACACACACACACACACACACACACACACTAGTAGAATGGCTGCATCATAAACTGTAGTTACACTGTATGTGGGGTTTTCTGAATCTGCCCTCTCCCCCAATCTATTCTCTTATGTTCACAGGGAATACAAGCTTTTCAGAAACGCCATGGGTTTTGGGATCTGGTGATGTATTTCCTGACCGAGAATATGTTTCTTTTGAAGAACATAACAAGCCCTACCCCCAATGGCTATTGCTTTTTTAGCAAAGTGCAGACCTTGAGACTACATCCTGGAAGAGGACATGTGGTTTATGTGCCTGAAATACATCTGCCTGCAGCTGATGTCTTTTATGGAATAGTTCTTCAATGCTGCTTAGCCTCTTCTGATGATTTATGATTGGTTTTAGGGAAAAAGAATTACCAAACGTGAAGAAAGTCAACAGTCACTGAATTCTTGATGTTTCTAACCACATCCTAGAAATTTCAGTTGTATTTATATCAATGTGTCACTTTCAGTGCATTTCTCTTTGTGGTATAGAGTTCAGTGCTTGTAGGCTACTTATCTAGGTCCATCTATCTATTTGTTGTTCCTTTTTATTTTCCCTAGTTGGTAGCAACTACACAGTGTCTCAGAGGCCTCCTCTTGCTTAAAGTCCCACATTTATGCACACACCAGTACATGTACCTATAGAAACAGTCCCGGCAACATATGACTTCATATACTAAGCAGTATGTTACATACGAAAACACCTGTGTTGTATTTAGGTAGCAGGTACTTTACATAGTACTTTCTTTTTAGCTGATCAACACCAATTACTGAGTTAGTTTTGTAATTCCATTAATTTGTAGCAACACAGAACTTAGCAGCAAACAGATAATGCCAATGCACCAACCCCAAATGCAAAGTTACAGAGCTGGCAGCTTCTTATCCCAGACTTAACTTCCTTCAGGACTCAGAGAAAATTCTCTTGAGGTTATTGTTGTCTTCAGTAATTCCCCAACTTCTCTCAGCTCATATGTTTTCATACATGATTCAAAATGAATCTCAGGCCAGATGCAGAGACAGGAAATAGCCATTGATCAATGAAAATCAAACCAGAAGCTTACCTTAGTTCCTTGAAGGGGTCTGCTCTGACATTAGGTGTTTCTATGGATTTGGGAAATACTGAGCCTTCAGCTCCTACAGATGAAAGACAAAAGCAAACAGATACTGGGGATGTGGAAGAATCACCTGGGGCACCATCAGCACACTGCTTAGAGCTAAAGGTACCGAGTCCATTACACAAGGTAATATGGATGCATTTTGCCACTGGCTTCAGAGCCTAGAAAGGAAAGCACTGAATCAACTCATGTAAGCAACCCTTGAGAAAAGCAGGGACATCCTTTGGAAAAAGTGTACCCTGTTGCAATCAGAGGGTGGCTATGAGGCAAATTCCATCTGGGATTCAAAAATGAAACCATTTCAAAATGATCCCTTGAAGTATGAAATTCTCTTGTCTCTTATAAACCATTAATGGTCATCCAACAAGAAGTGGTTTGGAAATAAAGCAGATGAAGCTGTCTTCCTGCAACGCAGGAAAAATCCTGTAACAGAGACACCTCCGTTGTGTATTAGATGGTAGCATTTGCCTAATGACAAGCTAAAGTTTTCTGTAAACAAAGTTCTGCATTATCGTCTTGAAAAGTTAAGCAAACAGAACATTATGAGAGATCATTTCAAGTTCAGCGTTTTTATTCTCTCAGTATTAACACTGATCCCCAGTCCAATTTAGACATTTAGCTCTTGACTGAGCTATAAGCCTTTCTCTACACAATTTGTCAACATCAGCTGAACCTTTCTAGCCATAAAAGGTTGCGAGTATCTGATTTGCATGCTCTCAAAGTGACTTCATATAATTTAACCCACAGTTTACTACAGACAATTGCCCTGGATATTAGCTTTTCAATTAAACATAGCTGAGGCAGTATCCTGTATTTTGATGCAAAGAAGTTTATTGCTATGCATTTGTTGTATATGTCTGATGCTGTGAAGAGAAGTGGGGTATTTTGCATGCATATGCAAATTTCTAGAATCCTTTAGCATTGTCATAATGTCTAGAAATCCCTTAGTTGTCATTATTATTCCAAGCCTAGATTTGTCTTGATATGATGATGTGTCCAGAAAAATTATTTTGTTTCTTTGCTACTGTAGCAACTATGAAAATGCTCAGTCTTTCTGGTAGGAGCAACAGACAATTGCCAGCACAAACCCAAACAATGCTTCTACTTAATATTACAAAGGACCAGTAAGGAATAGCTTAATGATTAACAGTCTCTTCAAAACTAGAACTTCAGTGACTCATACAGGCGTTCACATTCCCTGCAGCAACCTCATAAAATCAACATATACAGTGGGCAGGCACAGAGACGTTAAGTGTGGGACATTTACAGTTCTTCTTGACTTGAAGATATTTGCGTGTGTGGGGGGGTGTGCGCACATGTGCATTTATGTATGTGTGCAAGTGTGTATGTGCATGTGTATATACATGCGTGGTGTGCATGTGTCTGTGTGAGTCTGCATACATGCATGTGTATGAGGATACATGAGTGTGGGGCTGTGTGGGTGTGCATGTATGTGTGTGCATGTGTACAGGTGTGTGAAAGAGTGCCTTTGTGTGTATGTGAATATAAACGTGAGTGCATGTATGTGTGTCTGCACACACAAGTATTCATGTGTACTCACCCATGCATGCTCATGCATAGGCAAGAGGTTGATATTGGGTGTCTTCTCCTCAGTCATTCTCCACCTTATTTTTTGAGACAGGGTCTCTCACTGAACTTGGAGCTTGCTGCTGTGCACTGTGGTGGATTATTTAGCCTTTAAAGATGGGATTGGACCATCAATTGATATTCTCTCTTAGCAGCTTGCATAGTGTCCGCAGAAAACTATGAGAGCTAGCCTTCAGGGAGGAGGCTTCCAGGTCAGTTCCTGCATCATTGCTCGGATGCGGTTAGACTGGCTGCCTAGTTGGCCCCCAGGATCTGCCTGTCTCCCCACCCCAATGCTGAAGTTACAGGTATAAGCCATGTCTGGCTTTTTATGTAGGTGTTAGGGATCCAAACTCAGAGCCTCATGTTGCTTACAGAGCAAGCATTTCCCCACTGAGCCACCTCCCCAGCCCTAGCTTTCTTCTTTTTTAAGACTCCATATCACTTCAAATACATCAAAATGAGCACATAAAGAAATTTACAACTTGTCATGCATATTTATAAGAATGTTTATAGTTTCATTATGTATATATTATTAATTTTGCCCTGGGATTTCAATATTATTGTATCTTTGTGTAACTGAAGAATGAATTGAATTATAGACTGCCATGTAGCTTTTGTTAAATACGTGCTAAATTTGGTCTTGAAGAGTGTGCTATTTTATTTTCTTCTTGCTGTGACCAAAGGTTTGCCTCACACAGGGGTATCCAACCTTCTGATTCTGAGTGATGCAGTCTACAGATATGGTGGACCACATTCACAGCTACCTTGTGAGACTCTTGGACTACCCTGGCCAACAGACCGGGCCACAGACTGGACATGTCTGGCTCATGATTTGAAGTCTGGTCCCTAACAATGGGGGACACATAATGGCAGGAGCTTGAGCACATCTGGAGGTTCGGAAAGCAAAGGAAAGGGAATTGGCAGCATTTGGGCGACTTTCTCCTTTTCCTCCGATTATTCAGTCTGAGACCTCACCCTATAGAATGCTGTAGCTCACATCTTACTTCCTCTGTTAATCCTCTCTGGAAAGTTCTTACAGATGCACCCAAAAGTGTGCGTCCCGAGTACACTGAACATTTCTTAATGCAATTAAATCGATAGTGGAAGTTAAGTGTCATAATAAGCATGTAGTCCACATTTTCAACACTGGTAGGATCCTTTCAAAAACACATTGGCCATGGGCACTGTGGGGATGCCAAGGATTAAACATCCCTTCTGAAGTCACATGGTGATGTTACTCAGGCTGCATGAGGCCCTAGAATACAACATTCCTAACCACCTCTTGGTATCCAGCATCAGTCTCTTTTTCTGTGACTATTGCATGGAAGAGAGACTTCCCTATGCAACAGAGACCTGTGGTTCTCAGGCATGTGAACATTAGTTTACAACTACAATTAATGGACATAGCAGAAGGCTACACAGTAAGAAACATGCCAGACAGGAGAAACCTTCCTTGAAGTTCTTGGCCAGGGTAGTCCAAGAGTCTCCCAAAATTGCACAGGCTATTGCCACAGCCCTTGACTGCCTCTCAGAGCTTGAAGGTAAGACCCTATTGCTGAAGAGAGAACATCATTCAGATACAGAATTTTGACCAATGGAGCTGGAACTGAGCTGGAAGCCACCTCCCCTGAAGGCTAGCTCTCATAGCTTTGGAGAGCACTATGCAAGCTGCTAAGGGAGAACATCCGTCTATGGTCCAACCCCAGATTTAAGGCCTAAAAAACCACATCAATTACCAGCATAGCAAAATGACATTGGTACAGTAGTGGCACTTTTATCTTGGGGGTAATTAACAGCTACCTAATTGTACTTAAAGCCCACTCAATGGGAGGAAATTCATGTGTGGTCCTATAAAAATAGCCAAATGCACATGGCTAGAAAGTTGATAGATCTCAGAGAAAACCCCAAGGCTGTCACATTCCTAGACAAATGTAATTTTCTTACTATACACAAAATATGGATCCTTACATTTACAGACAAGTATCCCAGTCACAATTCATCCAAGAAGCTTCTTTTGCAACAGCTGGAGATTATTACAGAGTTCTACAACTGGTCATACAGAGAGATTGTCTGTGAATTGCCAAAGTCTAAGTGACAAATCTACCATGCAACCTCTACACCTAAGGCCCAGCAAACATAGTGGATCAAGGGGTAGAGGATTACTAACACATCTCTCAACTCTCATCAATGAAGCTCCTTCATGTAATAGAGGGTCAGAAACACAAAAGGTCACAAACGGCCAAAGCATAGAGAATAAGTGCCTGCAGACTGTGGGTCCTTGGAAAAATCTCCTATGTTAAACTCCACCCACCCAGGGCTCAGGGACTGTGGTACAAGAGGGGGCTGAAAGATTGTAAGAGCCAGAGAGGAGATGCGTGACCATAGGGAAACAGAGTCCTACAGGCTCCTGGGACCTTGCTCATATGAACCTAAAGCAATAGTGTTAGCATGCACAAGTCCCATGCAAACTCAAGCAGACAAAAACCCAGCACAGAACTGTGGAAATGGACAGCAGACCTCAATTTTAGTTCAAGAATTTTTGGCAGCTGATTACTGCTGGGTGAGGAAGAGCTGCTCTTCCTAAAGGGAGGGACTCTAGACAGGCTGACTAGACACGATGGGCCTTAACATAAATAACAGAGTATATGAATTCCAGTGGGGAAGGTTGGCTATGGGAGGGTGCCAGTGGAGAAGCGGGGTATAAAGGTGATTAAGATATTCTGCATGAAATACAGAAAAATTCAATAAGAAATTTATAAAATCACAATTGAAAGGAGCAGCTATATATCACATAAGGAAATGAAGTTATTTGTTGGTTGTATTATATATATTTTCAGTTTTAGCTGAAATTTTATTTTCTTTTACCCAGAATTCTATAAAAGTGAACACACAGAGTAGTGCCTTATGAAAGTCAGCCCTAGTTTTCTGGCTTATACATATTGCAACCAAACTGCCAAAGATGACATATTCCTCAACTTCTGACTATGCGCAATGTGTGTTCACAGTAGAGCAGAGGCTTCCCTACATCAGAGCGGTCACCAACTTGAGGAATGACATTTTCTTTAAAGTGAACGTCTAAATGCCTGTCTTAGTCACACTCTGTGCTGAGTCTGCTTCTTCATTCATCAATAATAATTATATAAACTCGTCTGCTACTTTACTTATTACACCTGCTCTATTGGGATCAAGAAGAAACAGCTTGCTTGTAGTCCTTAGCTCTGTCACCCTTCTGAGCCAGCCCAAGAGGAAAAGGAATACTGGACCACAATAGGGTCACTAACATACCATCGATAATGGTATGTCGAAAGGACAGGGTCTCCTGAACACCAGAGCTCAGAATGATAGTTTTCTCTGATCCCAAAGTACCTTTGCTGTCCTTTAGACCAGGATTCTTGTTCTCTGTCACATTCCCTAGCACAGCCTGGACAT